GACTGACAGGCTGATATACAGCCTGACAGGCTGATATACAGCCTGACAGAATGATATACAGCCTTACAGGCTGATATACAGACAGACTGATACACAGCCTGGCCATCTGATATACATTCTGACAGACTGCTATACAGCCTGACAGGCTGATATACAGACTGACAGACTGATACACAGCCTGACCGTCTGATATACAGCCTGACAGCCTGATATACAGCCTGAAAGGCTGATATACAGCCTGACAGACTGATATATAGCCTGACAGGCTGATATACAGCCTGTCAGGCTGATATACAGACAGACTGATACACAGCCTGACCGTCTGATATACAGCCTGACAGACTGATATACAGCCTGATCGACATATATACAGCCTGACAGGCTGATATACAGACTGACAGACTGATACACAGCCTGACCGTCTGATATACAGCCTGACCATCTGATATACAGCCGGACAGAATGATATACAGTGTGGAAATGGGAAATTAGTTATTTACTTATGGTGGGTTTGCCGTCAATTAAATTAATTAGTTTATGGTGTTTGCTCCCTTTCAACATAGATGTGTGGTCACATAGAGACAAGGTGGGTGTGGTGGTATGACGTAATTGATGTTGGACAAGGAGTAATGTGAGGTAACTGGGTAATTCATGCGACTGGGCACCAATGATGCATCTGTGTAAGCTTGTGAAAGTCTGCCCTTAAAAGTAAAAACCGGTTAAATATCTTCTTGTGTCCTCAAGTGTGTTTTTGATTAATTAAGATGAATAGAGGATATTTTTATCCAACAGCTGGTTAACAGCAGAAAGGATGACTGGTGACTGGTGGCGCAGAGATTAGAGAAGGTAAGTGTGTGATCGGAAGGTAGCCGGTTCGACTCCCCATTATCGACGACATCAAATTGTGGGTGGAAAAGTTGAAGCACCCACACCAGCCTTCACCCTCATTAACCCTCACCACCTGCTCCCATGGGCACCCTACATGGCAGCTTTCTGTCCCACACAGAGGGGCTGTGGTAGCTCGGTGGTGTGTGGTTGTGTCAGGAAGGACATCCAGCATAAAAACAGTTGCCAAGTCTTCGTGCAACTTAGTTCACTGTGGCTACCCCTGAAGAAGGGAGAGCCAAAAGAAGAAGGAAAAAAATTCTGAAAATTTTTTGTTGAATTTTATTTTAGTTTAAATGCCTTCAATTTTTGGGACTCTGGGAGAAGACCCCAGGGAAGACCCCATGACATGCTGGAGAGTCTATGTCTCTCTGTTGTCCTGGGAACGCCTTGGAGTCCTCCCAGAAGAGCTGGAAAAGGTGGCAGTGGAAAGAGATGTCTGGACCTCCCTGCTCAAGCTGCTGCCACCAAGACCTGACTTCAGAACAAGAGGAAGATGATGGATGGATGGATCCCTTCAATTTTCTAGAGTAGATTGTGTATATTTCCAGTGGCCAGGGTGTACCCTATAAGTGACTGCTGGAGATGGCCACTGTGGGTAACAACAATGGATGGATCGATATTTTGTTAATCAGAATCAGAATAAGCTTTATTATCATTGCACCGAGATACAACGAGAACATGTACGTACAGTCGTCCGAAAGATGGGCGGAGAGCACGAAGCTGCTACTATAGAAAAGCTCGGCCCTCTTATTCTTATTCAGAATAATATTTTGCTTAGATGAGAAAAGGGAAAAAAAACATGATGAGAAACGATATTAAAAAAAGATCTCTCATGCCGTGTCCTAGACAGGGCACGATTTGAGGCATCAAAAACCTGCCACAGCAAAGCAACATAAATAGACGTGATACATGTACATATAGGGACCGGTGAAGACATTGAATTATTAAGGGAAAGTCGTCGTAGCGTAATCCAAAGCCCCCCCTCTCAGCCATTGTCCAGATAAGAGGTGTTATTTATCATCAGCTCGGGTGAGGTTCCATCACATGTCCACAGCCTTGGGGAAGGGAGGGATGAGGAGACAAAGCATCTTTGTTTTTTCAAAACATGCCAGGAGGAGTTGAGATAAGTCTGCCATCAAGGCCACAGTTTGGATCAGGCAGAACTTGTGAATTGTTGTTTCTGCCTTTTAAAGTCTCGCTGGTATATTCCTCTGATGAAAACTCCAAACAGCCTAATAGATTCCTTAAAGTCGAGTCGAGCTCTCAGCTTCTCCAAGATTATTTCCACCTTCATGAGTGCTGCTAGAGTTCACAGTCCTGATAACGTTGGTTACGTACTGTAACCCCAGATTCTATGAGTATAAGCGTAGCCCTTTCAGGCTGTCGCTGATGGGTTTATCCCGATATGCAAAGCATTGCACTGAAAAATTTAGTCCACGCCCACCTGCTGTGTGGGCCCCACCCGGTCCGTATAAATTACGTTAAGAGCGGGAAATCGGCTCCCAAAATAGCTTTTTCTTCAGCTATTTAGGAGCCAGTGAGGCCCGACGCTTAAAGGGCTACGCTTATACTCATAGAATCTGGGGTTACAGTACGTAACCAACGTTCTATTTCGTATAAGCTTTGCCCTTTAAGGCTGTCGCTGATGGGTTAAGGGCGAAGCGGATGTTGTCCTCGCCTCACTGGGTCCATCCGAACACCGTATGAAGCAGAAGCTTGCCCAAGAAACGTCTTGTCACTCAGCTCCCCGTGTGCGTAATTACGCATTGCGTAATTATGTGTGCCATGCACAGACGCATGTTATGGAACTATGCGTTCTGAATGCATGAACGCCCCGGAAAATTCAATGGGGAGGGACAAATGCTGAAAAGAGCCATGAACCAACCGGTTTACGGCTGAACAGTATGAACAGATTAATAATAACAGGAGAGCTGATTATTAATCAAATGAACTGATTGGTAACAATAGTCGTGAACTGATTAGTGACAACAGAACCAAAATAACTATCACAGTTTATGATTGATAACAACATCTCACACTGTAATGCATGCAGACAAATGTGAGTTAAACGGAGTTCCATGAAACAACAATATTAATTCTGTAAACACTAAGGACAAAATGTGTCATGGGACAAGCCGTCACATCACGTAGATAAAAGCGAATGAATGAGCAGGGTGTTGACCACGCGGCCGCAGTGCAAAATGTCCTCCATTGTCATACCATTATGCAAGGCAGTCGAAGATGCGATACCCCTGGTCGAGTGTGCTCTGAGGTTGGCAGGAGGCTCTAAATCTGATGCTCTGTAGGCTTCAGAAATGGCCTCACACAGCCAGTGTGACAGGAGCTGGGTGGATAACGGGCGACCTGCAGATGCATCTCTATAATGCACAAACAAATGTTGACGCATTACAGCTGTGCGCGTTATGTAACACGTCAACGCCCGCACCGGACAGAGAAGATGAAAAGACGCTACTTCTTCTGATCTGGGGGGGCCTCCAACGATATCACTCTTGATTTAAAAGAGCTTGTGATGTTTTTAGGCATAAAAGCTGGGTTTGGTCTTAAATCAGCTGAGCTGCCGTCAGCCTGAATTCTGAGACATGACGGAGCGACAGAGAGGACAGATAAATCACTCACTCTCTTAGCGGATGTTAAAGCCAGCAGCAGGGCTGTTTAAAGAAACAAGAATTTTAGTGGAACCTGATCCAGAGGCTCAAATGTAGTTTTGATCAGGACCTGCAGGACCAGTGTTAAATCCCACTGTGGAAAAAGTGGGTGTGAAACAAGCCTGCTTCTCTGTACACCTTTTAGAAAACGCTTCATCAGCGGATGATTAAAAGCTGTTCTGTCTCCGAACACTTCGTGGCAGGAAGAGATGGCTGCAGCGTACGTTTTAATCGTGTTGGACGCCAAATTCCTGTCCATCAGCTGCTGCAGAAAAGACAGCATGCCACCTAATGGACATGAGATGGCCTCTACACCCTTCCCTGTACACCAGCGTTGAAAGGCTGTCCGCTTTGATGTGTACAGCGCTGTGGTAGATGTCGCACGTGAAACCTGAGTTGTGCACACTACATCCTGTGGGAGACCCATCCTCTCTAAGCGGATCCATTCAGCGGCCAGACCACAGGTGCTGGCCTATTTCTGGGTAACTCCTGATCGCTTCTCCTGCCTGGAGGAGAGCGTCCTCCCTCCACGGCAGTTTCCACGGGCGCCCTGACAGCAGGCGTTGCAGGACTGGGAACCATGGTGCGCTTACGCGTTTGGGGGCCACCAGGAGAGCTGTCAATCCCTCCTCCTGAACTCGGTTCAGGAACCGTAAAATCAGAGGAGGTGGAGGAAAAACACGTACAGAAGCATTTTGGGCTATGGGCTGTGGGCAAACGCATCCAACCCCAGTGGTGGTTCGTCTCGCGGGCTCAGAGAAAACCATAATTGACACTGAGCGTTTTCTCGTGTCACAAACAGGCCCACAGCTGCTATTTCAATCTGAGTCAAAATACTCCGTCAGAGGATGATTAAAGGTTGTTCTGTCTCCGACAACTTTGAGACAAAAAGAAAACATGGCCGCAGCATACGAGAATCGTGCTGGACACCAGATTTCTATCCATCGACTGCTGCAGAAAAGGACAGCATGTCGTCCAGTGGACATGAAGTGGCCTTCTCTGTACACCTTTTACAAAACGTTTCATCAGCAGATGATTAAAGCTGTTCTGTCTCGAAAATTTCGTGACAGGAAGAGATGGTCGCAGTGAACGTTTTACACGAGCTGAACGCCAGATCTCTGTCCATCAGCTGCTGCAGAAAGGACGGCACACCACCTAGTGAATATGAAATGGCCTC